GAATCATTCTGCTTCCTGGGCTATCAGTTCCAGCATAAGTAAAGCAGCTGGGCTGGTTTAACTGAAAGTGAAGACAAAGTGACAGTGAGCTTGACAGTATTGGAATGTAAAGTAAGGTGTAAGGACGACAGAATGATATTGGTATTGATGATTAAACTTACAGAAAAAAGAAGACAATGCAAAAGTTGCAAGATTTAAATGGTACGTTAGTACTTCATTGTAGCTAAAAAGTGTTTCAAACAGATAAATGACAAGAAAAGATGTGACAAAATCATGCAGCTTTTCTACCTGAACAATACAGACTATGGAGGCAGCCAGGTGAAACTTGGTAATGTGTATAGGACTATCAATTGGGAGAGAGACAGACTCAAGATAGATCATCACACAGAAGAGAAAAAACAGATAGTTAAACAATAGTTTACTGCACCTGTTTCAAATACTGGGTATGAGCAATAAGAAATAATGTGAACATTCCTGCCCACTGTCTCACAGCACCCTGTGTCCACAATTACAAAGCCACAATGGTTTGGGGTGTCACTCTTACAAATGGATTCCAGAAGTGACCGAGACGAAAAATATCAAGCCTCTCCCTCTTTCTCTATCTGAAAATGTGCTGTTACTTTTCTCCGAAAGATCAGTGCCCTGATTTTGTTAACTGAACATCATCATGCACAATTGTGCCTATGCAACATGGGAAGCCTGTTACTTTAATTTCATGCATGCACTTCCTACAGCAGCATTTGTTAGACTTGATGAATTATATGACCTTTTGGAATGACTGACAGATGTGTTTATTATAGTAGCTTTGAAGATGTTGATGGTTTTGCAGCTGTTCTCTGATGAAATCTTGTTTGATTTTGTGTTTGCTGATCCATAGAAAATCCACTTTTGGATGGCTAGATTGAAAATAGGAATGAGGAGGGAGTTTTCATCTTTTAGAGGAACCTACAGTTGTTTAGGAACTCTTCTGTATAAATTCCATTGCAGGATGAAACAGAGCAGAGCAATGTATTTCCAATGGAATTTCCTCTTCTGACAATAATAAGTAATGTGCGATATGGTCTCTTATTCAAACAAGTGATCTACTTATTGTGCAGTAATCTTTTTACTGAAAAAAGTAATATTTAAAGAAGAGGTTTCAAGTACTTATCAGAGCATATACCTGGGCATAGTCATCTACCACAACTGTGTGTGAGTCATGCTGCAACTCTGGTAGTGTCCTGCTGCTCGAGATTCAATTAAACATGACACATCTATCTTCCGAAACTCCATTTCGATATCCTTCCACAAATGTTTCTATGTATTTAAGATATTATTCCCCAGGTTTTCTTATGCTCATCACAGTAGTCCCTTTAACTCTTACAAAAGTGCATCTAACAGTCTAAGCAATTAAACCAAAATTAATACTGTTGAGCTGAACACATGGCAATTGTCTTTACTTATGCAGAGACAGTGCTGTGTAGTGCACCACTTAATGCTCCTCCACACAAAAGCTAGGGCCAGTCTTAAGATTTTTTGTACCATGGACCTCACTCTTGACTCTGATGAGATTCTGCAAGTTGTCATTGTATTGATCTTCTATGTCCTTCCCCATGGTTGCAGCACAGAAACAGATCTTCTAAAACTCTATCAAAAACACTAATAAAAGTAGAATGGGGGAGAATCACGTGTCAATACTCAGTTATTACAGTTAATAGAGTAAATCAATAGCTTTAATATGTAAAAACTAAATTAGTAATAACATTACATCACATTTAAAATAAATTTTACTTTAATGTGAGATAGTGACAAGACATAAAGATACAGTACATTTTTGCTTCATAAACCCAAGTTTGTGTCCTATATTACCGTCAGCTAAAGCTTCAAACTTAAATCATGTACATAAACAGAAGTTCAATGTTGTGTTTCTATAGCTAGTTTTGCACTTTGCTCAATAAAATAAATGACATATATCAAGTTACATAGTTGCCACTGGCAATTCAGAATTTTGTGACAAAATGCATCACAGAGTCTATCCCTCTGTCTAATACTGTCATGGTTTAACCCCAGCCAGCTGTTCGCTCGCTCCCCCACCAGTGGGATCAGAGAGAGAATCAGAAGGGTAAAAGGTGGAAAACTCTTGGGTTGAGACAAAGACAGTTTAGTAGGGAAAGCAAAATCCACATGCACACAAGCAAAGCAAAAAAAGGAATTAATTCACTGCTTTCCATGGGCAGGCAGGTGTTCAGCCATCTCCAGGAGAGCAGGGCCCTATCATGTGTAATGGTTACTTGGGAAGACAAACACCATCACTTCCAATGTCCCCCACTTCCTCCTTTGTCCCTTGACTTTATATACTGAACATGATGCCGTATTGTCTGGAATATGGTCTGATTCTATGATCCCAACCTCCCATGCACCTCAAACTTCCTTGCCAGTGTGGCAGTATGAAAAGCAGAAAAGGCCTTGGCTCTGTGTGAGCACTGCTCAGCAATAACAAAAACATCTCCGTATTATCAACCCTGTGTTCAGCACAAATGCAAAACACAGCCCCATACTAGCGACTGTGAAGAAAATTAATTCCACTCCTGTGTGTACTGTATTCTACTGTACAAAGAAATGTTCAACATCTAGCAAGATTTTCACTGTTTAAGTAGGTCTTTCAAGTGAACATTTGGCTGTGTTATTACTATCACTTATTTGCATCATTACTTCACCGATTAACCAATCATTTTGCATTTCTAGCTCTGACCTTTACATGTCCACTGACTTGAGTTTTTGACATTTATGATATGAAAATACTGATATGGAAGCCTGCAGAGTGTTTGGAAATAGTCTGCTTGTGACTGAAGTGATAAGGGTATTCCCTCAGCCTAAGGGATGAACTCTACTTGACCATAATCTGTGCTGGGTGAACAAAATAATTTGTCTGTTATTACTGAAAAAAGATGAAGAGCATGTAGTGACAGGACAAGGGGGAATGGCTTCAAACTGAAAGGGACTAGGTTTAGATTAGATATTAGAAAAAAAGTATTTAATGTGAGGATGGTGAGAACTGGAACAGGTTGCCCAGAGGAGTTGTGGATTCCCCATTTGTGGCAGTGTTCAAGACCAGGCTGGATGGAGCTCTGAGCAACCTGGTCTAGTGGAGGTGTCTCTGCCTATGGCAGAGGGAACTAGGTTTAAGGTCCCTTCTGACCCAAAACATTCTATGATTCTATGATGATTACTGAAACAAGATGAAGGTATTACTAAATCTATTGCATAAAAAACATAGTGCAAGACTGCAATAAAATTGTATTGGGGGAAGGGGGGCAATTCTACATCTCCTTTCTCTTTATCCTATACCTGACTAAACTCCACGCACACTAACAACACAGACCTGGATTCTTACACAACTGGATCCTGCTACCATCTCAAGTATGCTCAGGCATGCCCTGGCCTGCTGCCAACCCCTTGGCACACATCTTCCTATCTGTGACACCATTTAGAGGAGGAATATGATGATGATGATAGAACGATAACTCACTTGACCCTATCACCCAGCAACTTGTGGCAGCCAAAGCAAGAAAGAACAGTGAGTCAATGTGGAGCTTATGTTGCCAACTTTTTAAAAATACGTTTTTTGAGCAATGTGCTTGGGAGCAAACTGGTAAAGGAGTGTGTAGATCATCACACTTGAATTTGGCAAGTCTGAAAGCACAAGTGTAGCCAAACCTTCAGGCTACGCTTCCTGATCTGCTCTATGGAGAACTGTTGGGTCACAGAATCACAAAATTGTTAGGTTTGGAAGGGACCTCTGGAGATCATCCAGTCCAACCCCTCGCCAAGGCAGGGTCACCTAGAGCAAGTGTCACAGGGATGTGTTCATGTGAGTTTTAAATGTCTCCAGAGAGGAAGACTTCATGACCTCCTTGGACAGCCTGTTCCAGTGTTCTGCCACTCTAAAGGTAAAGAAGATCTTCTGCATCTTGAGGTGGAACTTCTTGTGTTTATGGCCATCGCTCCTCGTCCTGGGCACCACTGAAGAGTCTGGCACCATCCCCTTGGCACCCGCCTTTGAGATATTTGCATGTATTGAGGAGATCCCCTCTCAGTTTTCTCTAAACAGGCCCAGCTGCCTCGTAAGAGAGATGCTGCCAGCCCCGACTCCCGTTTCCAACTGCTCTGCACTAAAACCTGCGGGAAGCACGACGAGATCCGCCCATTCCCTCTCTCGGTACAGAGACAGCGCCGGCTGGGGAGAGGAGGGGAAGGACAGGCACCAGCCCTGGAAAGCGGGCACGGGCGGGGCGGGGCAGGGAGCCGGTCCTGCCCCACCATGTCCCGCTAAAGGCGGAGGTGGTGGGCGCGGGAAAATATCCCTGCCCGACGGCCGAGCAGGCCAGGATCCCCTGGAGCGCGGGTTGGGATGCGGGGTCCGCGCGAGCCGCTTCGCCCCACTCCCCCCGCCCCCCGCACACCGGCGGTACCAACGCTCGCGCGCGCACCAGCCAATCGGCAGCGGCGGGCTCGCTTCCCCCTGCCCTCCCATTGGTGCGCGGTGGCGAGGGGGCGGGGCTGGCGCGCGCCCGCCGCAGTCCCGCAGTGCCGCCGCCGCCGCGCCGGGCTTGCGCGCGCGCGCGCGCCACAACCGCCGCAGCGGCCGCGGGGCTCGGCGGGGCGGCTCCGCCCGGGGCGGCGGCGGGAGCAGGAGGGAGCGCCCGGGCCGGGCCGGGCTTGGCGCGGAGGTGACTGCTCACCCGCAGCGGGGATGCTGCTGCTGCCGCCCGAAGCCGCCGGCGCAGACGCCGACAGCCGCCGGGCGCCGCTGCGACAGAACAACAACAACACAACAAAGACAGCCGCCTGCCCCGGCGAAAGCTACAACAACACAACAAAAAAAGCTAGCTACAACAACAACAGCCCGCCGCCGCCGGAGCCGAGCCGGAGCCCGGGCCGGCAACAAACAGGCCGAAAACAACAAGCCGGGAAACAAAGCCGAACAGCCCTGCTCTGGCTGCCGGGCGGGGCAGGCCGCCGCCGCCGCTGCTACAGCCGCCGCCGCCGCCGCCAGTGAGGGGACAGCAGGCGGGAGAGAGGGCGGCCGCGGCGCCCGGCGGCATGTGAGCAGCGGCGGGAGCGTCCCCCGAGCCCCGCGGCAGCACTAGGGGGGCCCGTCCCCGCGGCGGCGGTTCAGCGCGGGCATCCCCGCTCCAGCCACCCGCGAGGGGAACAAGGAGCGGCCACAAAGCGCCGCCGCCCGGCCGCCTCCGCCCGACCCGCCCGCTCCCGGCGAGGGAGGGGGCGAGCGGAGCCCCCTCGTCACCTTCTCGCCGCCCGATCTATGGGAGAAGCGGGCCGTCTCCCTCTAGGAAGCGCTGCCGCGGCTCGCCGGGACTGAGCGGAGCGGCCGGCGGCCGGCGCGGCGGGAGGATGCCACTGCTGCGGAAGGCGCTGCGCGTCTCCAACCGCTCCATGCTCGCCTTCATCTTCTTCTTCTCCTTTTCCTCATCCTGCCTCTACTTCATCTACGTGGCCCCCGGGATCGGTGAGTCGGGGGCCGCTCCCCGGGGAGCGGGGGTGAGGGCGGCGGTGGGTGTCAGGCTGTCACAGCGACCAGGAGGGCACGGACGGCGCCGGGCGAGGGGCGGCTCAGAGGTCGCAGCGCGATCCCGCCCGCCCGGGGAGCGTCGGGCGGCGGCGGGGGCGGCGGTAGCGTGCGCTGATCCCTCATCTTTGTTCTGCTGGTTTCAAATGCTCTAGAAGGTTCATGTGCCATCGCGAGGTAGGTGGGTGCTGCCCTTGCCTCGCAGGCTGGGAAAGTGAGGCACAAAAGCAGCTCACCGCTTCACCGTGTTATAACGGCAGGAACAAGGAAAGAACTGCCAAACTGCTGGACTCACTTGGATGTATTCATCTTTCGAGTTGTTAGAAACTGCATTAATAATAAAGCACGTGTGAACAAAAATTAAGAACCAGTTTGAAAGTTTGTTGTTTACTTCCGTCAGTGGGATCTCTCTTCACAGGTTTTACAGTTTGTTAACTTCCACTTCTGGAGGAACCACCTCAGAGGGGAGAGGGAAGACAAACAGTTGATTTAGGAGAATCTTCATGAAATAACTGTGCAAGTTTGTGTCAGACAAAAAAATGTGCTATTTTCCTTAGTTTGCTCTTCTGCTGTTACTGGGAGACTGTCAGGCTTTTTTTCACTGGATGATCCTTTCGAAACTGGTTAGCATTACCCCAGAGCTAAGGCCAGTGTTATCCTGTATGATGCTCTGTGAGTTTTCACTATGTTGGGTGTCTGTTGACTAGGCAATGTTTTTTTTTTCCAGGGAACGTTTCCACTTCTGCCTGTTTCCTTGCTTTTCAGGTGCTACCTAAATAGCTGTAAAATCATCTCTCTTCAGTGCTTGAAGCGCCTCTCTGCAGTCATTACTCTGAAATGTCCACATTCGACCACTGAATCTGCGGGAATTGTTTCCTGTTGACTGCGACTTTATGCTATTTGGCTCCCTCTTGTTCGCTATCTTACATTTAGCTTGTAAACACTTTCAAGGTGCAATTGCTTCTCCTGTACTTACATAGTTCTCCTGTAGTTCTGTAATTCTCCCACACTTATATACTTCATACAATATTGACAAGCCTGTCATTTATTATTCCAGTTCAAATAAATATAAAAATGATTAGGGAATATATCATGGGTTGGAGTTCTGAACTTTCTTACCTGTCAGTGTTTCCTTGCTGAAAGGGGTGTAATGTAGTCTTGCAAGTGAGAATGATGCTGCTAGGGTCCATTCAGAAATCTTAGGTCTTTGAGACACTGCTGCAATACATATATGTGTATATATATATATGTAAAGTAGACTTCAATTACAAGTAGTTGGTGTACAATTTAAATAGCAGAGTACACATCTTTCTAAGTGAAACTATTAACATCTTACATAATGTGCACAGCTGGAGTTTTACTTTGTTATTTGAATGCTTCTTTTCAGTGGGTATCTTTTTAGGAAGCACGTCTTCTCACTAAACAAGGCTTATGTAGTATCTTGTACAGAATCAGAGCCTTTAGTGGGGTGAGACTTTTCATTCCCGACTTTATCTTGCTGCTCAGCTGTTGAAAATTACATATGTTTCCTTTTTATTAGGAATAAAATGAAAGCAATAGTATGTACCATAAGTCTTCTTGGGGTAAGTTATGTCTGATCAACCTTGAGGAAAAACAAATCGTACTGAAACTGGTCTCTCTTCCTATCTCAGACATATATACTGTAATTGTCTCTTTCAAGCTGTGGTTTAACAATGCAAAAATTTGGGGTAGTTCCATAAGTTTGTGAGATTACATCTCTTTCTGGCTACTGATTAATTCTGTGCTGCCCTACCTGTATGCAATTGTGTTCTGAACTCATCCAGCTTAAATCAAAACCCTGCAATATTGATATTCTTTGTCTGTGGCACTTCTTGATCCACTTTGAAATGGGACCAAGCTGTGCTGGCTTGGGGGTCCTTGGGGGAAGGAGTATAGAAAATGGTAAAGGAAAGGGCAGTAGGAAAGTCTTTACACTGGTATATCAGCCTATCAGCTTCCAGATGTGATGCTGATTTCCCAGGAGTTTGCTCCTGAAAATGTTACTGGGTGGAATGGAGAGAAAGAAGGTCAGATATTATCTAAAAACCAACAAGCATCCTGGCATATTCATGGAAAATGTAAGAGTGGAAGGTTTTCAAAAAACCTAGGAACACCCAGGTTTACAGGCAGATGATTCATCTAATAATCCTATGCTGTATGCTCATGCCATTTGCATATTGTGATAGAATAGAATGTTTCACTCTACTTGCTCCTTTTCACTGAATGTAATGAAACAGATGTTTCTAAGTTAAGGCTGATTTTGTGTGTGTGGAGAGGAAGAGGGCTTAAGATTACTTATGGAAGCTCAGCCACTTTACCTGTGAGCAGCTTTTCATGAAATATATTCTGCAGCTAAGTCATAAATGATTGGGATCTGCCATAATTTATGCATACAGATATGTTTTAGTTCATCAGAACACTTTCATCCTCAACAAACTACAAGCCACAGTGTCAGAAAGGATAGAAATTCTAATTGTGTTGTAGGGAACTGGAGCTGTTCCCTGGCTGCTTTCTCTTCCTGATGGTCAGAGGAATTGAAAAGGAGGGAGAAGTTCACTCCCAAATGCTTTATGGAGCAGCAGTGTGCTGGAAGGTGGGAGGGGAAAAATAAGTGGATTATGTAGCAGAATGGTTTCCTGAGATGTCAAAGTGGATTGAAAATTTGAATTCTTGTGGTCTGCTAGGGTGGGATTCCCTCTTAGCAAGCAATTTATAGCTTATCAAAGGAAGGTGTCTGCACTGGGAGAATTCTCAAAGAGGTCACTATCACATTCCCTCTGCCCTTCATGCTATTTAGAAACTAGAGTTACTGCATTTTTGTAGCAAAACTGCAGTTTTTTGGCAAATACAGTTTGGGTCAACTTGAAATATTGACAATTTGTTTAGGGGGAAAAAATCTTAATTACTTATTATAGGGTATTTAATTATTTCTGTCTAATATTTTATAGTTTTTATTTGCACAAAAATTACAGATATTACAGTAACATCACTGCATAGCTTTTTTTTTTTTTTTTCCTCTCAGAATGTTAGTTCTTTGGGAAAGAGAAGCTTTTATTATCCCATGTATTTCAGAATATGAGGGAAGGAAAAGCATTTGCATTTCATGTTTTCAGTTACAGTTCTGTGTTTTGAGACTAAGACATATAATATTCCACATAATATAAAAATATGGGGTTTAAATGGTTGAGGAAAATTCATACATAATGTTGGGATTGTTCATGTGCCTCCTTCCCCCTCTTCTGTAAGCACAGACGATTGGATGAGGTAGAGATGGCTGCAACCCTACATCAGCAGCACCCTGATGGCCTTTTGATAGTCAGAGGAGCTCAAACATGAGAGCAGAATGAAACATTGAAATGTTTAAAATTTAAAAATCTCATGTAAATGTTTAATGATACTTCTGTGTGATAGTCTCAATAAAAGCAGATAACAGGTGCTACTTCTCCAGAAAGACCACTTCATCTGGTGCTCTTTCTCTGGTACGTGAAATGAAAGGATAGAAACTGAAGTTTCTGATTTTGAATTAGTCAATAAAGATAGACTGTGATTCTGAAACTTTGCTGGAAGTTACAAATATCCATGTAGTAAAGACTGAAGAAGGTGGCTGAGAGCAAGAATATTTGGCACCAGTACATTCTCTTTCATTATTGTAGATAACAGTAGTGATAAAATGGACTCAGATAGTCTTTGTCTGGTCCTGACAGCTATCCAGAATACATAGGTATGTTCAAGTTTACGTCCTGCAAAGGATCCAAAGATGAGGAGAATAAGACAAATTAACAAGGCAACGGTGACCAAGAGAGCATTTGCTGGTCTTATTTCACTGCCAAGCCAATCTGAGTATTGTAAGAGATATTTTTTTCCCCCTGCTTTTCCAATTTGCTATTCAGCATCATAACTGAAATGACATTGGACAACATAACTGATCTCAGAAAATGATCACTTATTCATCTCTGGGGTTTTCCTTTCTGTCTGATTCCAGCAGAGAACCTTTACCAGACTGGGTGGAAGAGGACCTTAGAGCTCTCAATATTGTAGTCAATTGCAGTCTAGTTTTTCACTCAGAGGGTGGTTGAGCACTGGAACAGAATTCCACAGGGAAGTGGTCACAGCGCCAAGCCTTTCTGAGTTCAAGAAAGTTTGGACAACGCTCTCAGGCACGTGGTGTGATCCTTGGGGTGTCCTGCGTGGTGCCAGGAGTAGGACTCAATGATCCTGATGGGTCTCTTCCAAATCAGCACGTTCTGTGATTCTAACTTGTCCACCTTGGACATGATGAACTTTGTAGTTCTCATCAGAACTGGTTATGAAACAATGCAGTGATTAAGGAAGATGCAGTCTGCTTTGGCATCAGTAACTAGGAATCCTGAATGGTGAAATGAGATTGAGGAGTTAAAATCAGCTGCTGTTTTCTCTCCTATGCTCTTCTGCTTCTTTTATTAAAACTTTGCTACTTCCCTGGCAATCCTAACCGAAGGGCAGCTGTGCAGGCTAGTTGGAACTTTGAAGCATCTCCATTGGTTTTAGCTTACGACTTTACATAAATCTATTTCCTATTCTGTTATTAGGAAGTAGTTTTCCTAATAGGAAAGGATGATCTCACTCCTTTTTGAACTTGTGCAAAAATGGAGGAGAGTGCTGCAGGTGCTATCAGCAAGATAAATTTTTACCAGGGCTTCCATGTGCTGTGCCTATAAATGTGGGCACAGCCTTTGTGATGATATGCTTTGTTCGTGTCAGCTATGGCTGTTGTGGTATTATCAAAGACTTGCTGTGTGTTTATAGAAAAATTTAGTTTGGAAGGGACCCCTAGAAGTCACCTGATCCAGTCTCTTGCTGAAAGCAGATCCTACTGGATTGTATTGCTCAGAGCTATGTCTACTTGAGTTTTGAATAAATCCAGGGATGCAGATTCTGCT